TAGTTTCAGTACGTACATGGCATTGACTTCGTCGACATAATGAACAATGGCCGAAGAACCCAGCTGACAGCCAAATTCAAAACTCGAAGACGGATCAACAACTCCTCCGACGTATATTTTTAGCAACGCAGTTCCATCCTCACTGATTTGCACATTTCTTGCAACCCAATCCACGGCGGTCGAGCCCGCTGTACAAGTAAAAAAAAAAAGTATTTCATTGCATTTGGAAACAAATTTCCAATTGATTGATCAAGCGGGTCAAGATGACAAAATAATAAAAAAGTATAATTAAAAAATGAATTTATATAGTGATTTCATATTATTTTGGACACAAGTATCGTGAAATACAGCCGATATAATATACTGTAACTGTGAATTTGAACAAGAAGGGAAATAGCTTAATTATGAAAGATGCATCATATGGTACCTGTTAACGACGAGTACGCGATATTCACGAAAGCAACTTCCGATGAAGATCTGATGCAATCAAAATCAAACCTTATATCACTAAATGTATGCATAGATAAGAACATACACACAAAATCCCTTAACATTAACGTAGTGAATCAAGATACAGTAATTACAAACCACTGCTGGAAAAACACTGCTCATAATATTGTATATATGAACGCATTACCGCGTTGACATTTTAATAAGGCATTTATCTTACCAACAGGACACTTATGGGACATTTATCACACTCCTTGGTGGTCTTATTTTTCTGTTTCTCCAGATAGAAAAAAACCGGTTCGTTATTTACTGATGGGTTCATTGCCTTTGGCCTGCTTTGAACACAGGCAATGAAACCGGAAACGGAAAACCGCTTCCTCACCATTTCCTTGTTCTACGGCTGGTGGTTGGGGTGCGTCACCATATACGCATGGTTTGAATTTTTGTTGGGATTTTATCCGCGCTTCAAATTCTTGAAATGTGTGTCAGTGATAGAATGTGTTCAAATTTTCTTCGTATTTTTCATAAGTGAAGCACACGAGATATTCGGGACAGTGAAATTAGCTTTCGGTTGCTGAATTGGTCTTCAGCTGATTTTCGAAAATATTTTTCGTTGGTCTGACATCCCACAAGCCAAAAATTTGCGAATTAATTCTGCTTATAAAGGATTTAAAACGTCAGACGATAATTTTTTGCTTGAAAATTCTCTTCAGAGCAATGTATTTTTTTGGAATCGCCATAGAAACCAGAATATGGTAAATAAATGTATGAAAGCAAATCGAACGCAAATCGAAAAGAGTCGAGAGAAAATCTTATTTGAATAAAATTCTTGATTTAAGCTCTCGCGGTTTTTCAGCTATTTATTGAAAATCGATTTGAACTTTGCTGGTCTACCCTGTAGATCTCGTATTCGTTGGGTATACCAAACCCCAAAAGTATGAAATAACGAACAAATTTGTCAATTCACCTTCAAGATAGAAATCTTCGGCATTAACGACTTGCACAGGTTGCCCAGAAGTTTCATCAATCGTCGTCTGATGGCTCCATAATCTCATGGGCATGCTAATGAACTAATCATGTTGATTACAAAACACAAATAAAAACCGTAACACGATCTTCAAGGAAAACAAAACGACTCTCACCAAGTTGCTGGTTGGAAAAGGATCTGAAATTGCGGTGCATTGTTCCACATCGATGTTGATTTGCAGGAAAATTCCGCGTTCCAGAGATGAAACGATTTCTGAAAAACTTCCTACTTCTAAAAGGAAAAAAAGATATATTTTAGTTCATGAGCCATCACATTCATAAACCATTTTTAGCAATGAAAAAGCTTCTTTCTGCACCGAGATAAAATTATTTAGCCAAAAAAGAGCCCTCCGAAATTATCCGGTTGCTGAGGATACCATTCGTTTACTTATTCAAATAAATGATTCTCGGCAAAAAAAAACCTGAAGTTTCTTTTTTTAACCGTTTCTTTAGTTTGTCGAGGAATTCTAAAAAACGAGGGCATGCCATGAAGTCTATTTCTTCAAATAAAACTCTTGAAATTTTTCATGTCCGAAATTTTATTCGGGGCGCTTCTGTCGCTGAAATTGCATGCTGCTGAACAAATTTCCACTAAAAATACGGAACATCGGATCGAAGCTGAAAAACTGGAGTTCGCACTTATTTCGCCATATATTCTTGTGAAAAAATATGATTAAAAATCAATCGATATTCAATTCGCGAAAACAAACAACTAAACAAACCTTGAGCTGCCGAGAAACTCAAGCAAGCCAAAAAGGCCAGCAAAGAAGCGTTGAATCTCATGATGCTTTCACAGAATCCGTGCTAGTCGATTCAATGGCTAGCGTTTGACTAATTAATTTGACAAAAAATGCATTTGAAACACACTGCAGGTGCCTCGTAAGCATTCGAAATTGAAACATGTGTTTCCTTAGTTCGATTTTCGCTCAATTCGTCTTAGTGAAAATTCGCTGCGTCATTCAACAGCTGCTTCCGATCCCTGGATAGTTTTTAACAGTTGAAAATTTTTCTGAATGTCGATTCTTTTGGGTGAATGAAGTCTCAATAGCAGTGTAAATTCCATCAAGGATTTCTATTTTTACAGGGAATCTTTTCAATCGTTGAATGCTGAATTTTTAGCAAACATTTTCGTCTCTTTCTTGTGGGCTGTTTATTATATTTCCGTTGATTAACTTGCGATGTGTTTTATTATTCAGGTCAAAATGGATCTCGGACGCGTGATTTCAAGATTTATTCTTCCATCTTTAATTCTTGCTACGACATCACTTGGTCAACAAGGTAAACATTTTTGAAAAATCACTCTCGAATATAGGTTAAAATGCATTTCAAAAGGATATGCCAATTTATTTATTGAGCAAAATATTTTCACAATTCTTTTTAGGACTGAATTCTTTTGCCGAGATCAAGGAAAATCTGGAAGGGGGAAGACGACTTCAAATGAACGCCTTTGCAGATCACTGCGAATCCACGACACCAACGGTGATGATGAAATCTTGAGACTCCCCTAGATGTTCTTTTGGATCTAATTTTCTTTTAATGAATGAATCAAAATTGTTTCAGGACTTGAGCATGCCCTTGCGGCATTGGCAAATCGTGACCGAAAATGGCGAAACAACTGTGCGAGCGAACGATTTCAGCGTTTTACGTGAGTTGTCCGCAAACTTTTTTTTCGCATATTCTTAAACTTACCAGAAATTTGCTACAACTTCTTGGAAGTTCTTTAGTCAACGGTTGGTTCATGATTTATGTCAATTTTTTTTTTTATATTTTCGGAAGGATCGAGATATTGAGGGTTTTTTTCACAGCGCAAAGCAATATTTAAAAATTGCCTTGAGGTATTTTTATAGATATCGTAGTTAGGTCAAGAGCCCACAAATCTTCAAATAATACTGCATATTTGTGAAAATTTCGCAGATCTGGAAAAGAAGTTCCTACGCAAATGTTTTTAATTACTTCTTCGCTTATTACGTGAGTTGTTAAAAAATGTTGCTAGCAAGCCAGAAGTTTCAAATTTCAGAGTTTTAAATCATAAAAAATCAGTAAAAAAATAGCGGAAAATTTGCTTCTCTTGGTACTTGTTCCACAGTGGCCTGGAATTTGCCTCGTCAGAAACTTGTCCACCCGAAAAACTTGATTTCAAGCATTGAAAATGTTGAAATATTTCCCCTGGAAATTTTCGAATTGTTTTCCAAAGCTTCGGAGCTTCAAGAATTCGAGACCCGCGATAAATAAATTCCGAAGGAAATTATGTCCATTCGTTTTTGTTCGTTTTTTAATTTGGATTTTATTTTTCAAGCAGCAGGAAGATCCGAGCTTTCCTTCATTGTTCGCGAGCTGAACATATTTGCAAACGGAACAGTGAAGGTCGACATCATTGTTCCTGTTCAAATTACCGAAACGTATTCAGTCACTTGCGTCTTGGGTCGAGGGGCTTTTGTTCATCGGGTCGACTTCGGAGCAGACGTGTAAGTTTTTAAATTTTGGAATGTGTACCAAGACATCAGAGACGCTTTTTAAAAACACAATGCTTCTGTGAAAGAATATCTTCGCCGAAATTTCCGCGGAAAGAGTAGGAGGCGCTGAACATTAAAAGGAAATCCTCAGATCCGCTGAATGTTTCGTTCATAATTTGTAGACAAAACGTTTCGAAATTGACTTCATTTGATTCGAAATCTGCGAATTTGCAGGGAACAGCTGGTGTCCTACGACGAAATAAAGACAGGCTTGCTCCTTGGAAAACACATAGAAGCTGTTGGCACATTGCATAAGTGCTACAACTACCAAGAAGTACTTGGAGACACAGAACTTACCGTCGGCTTCCTCGTTAGCAACATTGCAGTGCTTAACGATGGTGATATCGTCAACTATTTATTAAAAATCTATATTATTTTGTGATTCCTGCGCTGCTAAGACCAGCTATATCGTGAATATTTTCAGGAGTGCCTGACATTCAAATATTAAATGTGTGTAGAACGAGACGAATGGAAAATTCAGGCAAAGAAGTTGAATAATCCACGCAAGCGAAAGTGTTGTCTGAGGAAAAAATGCAAAAATTGTTGGATATTGTCAGGGACCGTAAGGTGTCGCCCTTTACGCTCCAATCACTGCTACACCTGAAAATGCCACAAACACAGAAATCATTAATATTTCACAACCCTGTTTCCGACCACAAGAACTCACCTCAACTCGACCTTGGAAACCAGTTTTCCAGTACTGGTCCCGGAACTCCGAAGCACCGAAGATCGTCACTCATCTTGAGATTCTCGTAGCGATTGGTTCCTAAAAGTGCTCTTGAAAA